GTGGGAATGCAGACTGGTGCAATCACTGTGGAAAACAGTATGGCGTTTCCTCAAAAACTTAAACACCTTTAAAGGGGTCTGGGGATCGATTATATCCATGTTGCTGTGACCTCCAGAGGAGGGGTAGGGTTTAGGGGTAGGAAACAAGAGAACAGGTGTGTGTTGCTCCTGAAAAACCAACATCAGAAAACTTGATGAATCAGGGCTGCCTTATTATAACATGTCTTACTTGAGGCCATTCCTGAGAAAATAGTTGGTCTATCAAAATTCTTGTATTCGCATTTATAAATCTTTTTCTCGTTACCTTATTTATAGTTTGCTCTTTTTGTTTGTGGTTGATTGGCATTACTTGTTTCTTTAATTTCCTGATGCCTACAGTTTTGTTACTACAAGTCCTAAAGGGCATTTCTTAGACCTCTAGGGAAATGCTGGAGAAGATAAACAATACATGGAAAACATTTACGCCATGGTAGGGACTCGGCAAGGAATGAATGAATAATAGTGATGGCTATCAGTCATTAAAGCAGATGCCCAATATCTGGCTAGGTGCTCATGCTAGCTCATGCTGGGTACTTTACATACATGTCTCTGATGCGAAACAACCCCAGTAAAGTATGATTCCCTTGTAAAGATGAGGTGATTGTGGTGCAGAGCCATCAATGTCCCCAACATAACCTCTCTAGTAAGTGGTAGAGTTTGAGAGTTGAATCTACACCTATGATCTCTTGAACCCTAGAATCAATCACTATGTTGTACCATATCCTTGGAAGTGAGGGAGGAAAGAATGGGGGGAAGAAAATGAAAAGGGGGGAAAGAAGGCGGGGGAAGAGGGAGAACACAAGAGGAACGGAGAGAAAAAAAGAAAAACTTGAAAGACACACGAGCATGTCATTGAGTTTCACAGCAGATTCAGCTACAATACAATGGCCCTTCTATATGGAGTTATTTTGGGCATGAGATACAAACAGGAAACATTTCCAGGAAGAATTTTTTTCAAAGTTAATTCTGAGACTAATATATATATATATAGGGATTTGGTTCAGTCCTTCCACAGGGACAGGAAGTTTGGTGAACAATGTTAAGAATGGGAGAACCTGGAGGTTGAAATAGTCTGAGTGACCTAACCAAACATTTGAGCGGTTAGATTATTATCCTTGGGGCTTTCTCCAACGTTGCGGGGAGCAGGCAGTATTCAGCTCTTCGTGCACACCTAAGCCGGTCGAACCTTGTCCCAGTGGCCCATTTGTCCAGCTACATTTTCCCTAAAGGTAGCAGCCTCTCCAATAGAGAAATAACTGGAATGAAGTAAAAACTGCCTTTGGATTTGGCCACTTCTTAACAGGAAAACCAATTCTAAGAACTTTGAAGAAGCAGCAAAAGGCTCCTATGAGTCCTTTGTCAGCTCCAAAGATTACTTAAAGTTTAGCCGGAGAGATTACAATCCTACAAGATCCAAGTCTCTTAAAGATGTCACAATTGCAGGAAAACAAGCTGGGAGAATAACAAAGGCTCTGGGAAGACCCCCTTCCATGGAACTGAGGGTTTATGGGAGGTTTGCTTCCTCTTGGACCGACTGACCAGAAACCCGATTAGAGGGAGGGCTTTGAAAACAGTCCTGTGGTTGGAAAGGGTGTTTGCTTCCTTCTATTAGAAAACATTGAGCATTTAAAGTCAGCCTTGCCCTGGGTTTCCGTAAGAATAACTGCCCACAACAAAGAAGACTGGGAAAGTGCTGTTGAGCTTCTCTGGTCTAATAAAGTTGGGATTCACTTTGCCCTACACTCTGATTGGGCAACCATAGGAGACCCGCACATCTGGCAGCTAAGCATCCCTCACATGTCCCTGGGCTGAAGAAGGAGGATGGAGGGTGTGCTCACAGTCCTTACAAGTGGAGCCAGCTTGCAGGCAATCTGTGTTTAGTCAAATCCTTCCCTCCCTCCTCAAAAAGTCTGCCTCTATTTGCATATATTAGGCCATGCTGTTCCTGTCTCTCTCTCTCTCTCTCTTCTCTCTCTCTCTCCCTCTCCCTCTTTTCCTATCTGTCTCTCTTTCCCCCTCCCTCTCCCTTTCTCTCTAAAAGTCTCTCTCTTAACGATTATGAATTTTCAGAAACTTCCACATCTATACACCCAAACCCTCTCACACATGCTCAGAAAACAACAACTGTGCCTCAGTTTGGGTTGTTATTTTTAAGTTCTTAGGATATTTCTCTTTTTTTCTTTTTTAAGGAAAAAATTCCAAGTGACATTCCATTAAGAAACAGGAGGGCTGGCTCCCCATGCAGAAAACCAACTCTCACATCTTGAAACACTGTGGATGTTCAAGAAAATGAAGTGTGAGCTTCTGTGGGTGGAGGGAAGAGGAGGGCTAACATTTGCAATGACCTGTGCTCTCATACAATGAACAGAGGAGGGGTTTTCCCACCCTCCTCTATGCCTTCACTAGTGAGCGGTGGCAAGCAGAGAGGTAAACTGAGAAAGTCACAGGAGCTGGGAGCACCACCATGAACAAGTGACCCTGGGTACATGCATTTCATGCTAATGATCAAGAGGCCCATGTATAGCTCAGCCTTTAACAGAGATTCCCTTTTGTTAGAAAGGACATAATGTCACCGTGACTGTTAACAGCCAACTACATCAGTGGAGAAGTTTTCATGCCAATTTCTTCAAATTTTTCTTTTTGCCACATGGGGAGAGGTTAGACTCTCTCCAAGAATGCTGATAAAACGAAGTCTTCTTGTCTATTGCCCACAGTCTGAGGGCAGCAGAAGTATTTTTTATACTTTACATTTCTTGTACATTTACAAGTGTACACACACACCCAGGATTTCTCCCTCTTATCCTTAACTTTGTTAGACTGGCAAATCCGCCACTTTTACCTTTGATCTTAATTCCCCTATGATACGGGTTTTCCAAGATGTTATTTCTTAAATTGATGGCAATTTTTTTTAAATGGTTAAAAAAAAAAATCCAAATAATGATGGGTCCCTAGCTATTTTCTTTTGAGAAGTTAAGTAATTTAATGGGGATGATTAAAAAAAAAAACTTTATGGCCAGGTGGCTCAAGGGGATATTTTGTTGAACACTGATTAAAAATAATTTCTTCTAAATGAGACCTGACCACAAAATGGAACCATTAATGGGCAGGGACGTTGTCACCAAGGCGGAATCATGCCTGATTGCCTCTCGTACCTCCCACCACACGACATTTTCTTCTCCTTTTCTTGTTCTTAATAGCAGAGTAAATAAGCAGCCAGCAAGGCCTAAATGTTTTCGGCCAAAAGCAGAGTCCAAACTCCTCAGAGAAAACATTTGGCCTCTGTGGTTTTGTAATATGTTCCAGAACACCGAGTTCAGCGAGGAACATTGTGAAAAACTCCCACCCATCGGAATGATGGTGGGGAATGTTACAGTATCAGAAGTTGCAATTGGTCCTTTTCCTGCAGGCCCATAATGAGGCTTGTAAAAAAAAAAAAAGTAGTGCTATGTGGAAGTTCTCATGGGAAAAATGAATGGCAAGAAATCCTAGCTTTAAAAGAAACAGCTAATCTGCTAGTTTGATTGTTCTTCAAAACTTACGCTGAACCAATGAGCCTAATTAAAAACACTTGGCCTACTTCTATAAAGCATCGTCGCTTTCTCTATGCTTCGTTTGTATACACCACAAAACTCCAGATAGACTATTATTTTTTCAAGTGCTCACTAACAAAGTGCTGACTTTGTTGGGATGGCTGAGCTAATTTCTTGAACTCAGTGTGAAACCTTAGCTAAACAAAATTGTGGTAATTTTCCTTAATTTGTAAAAGTGATTGGAGTGCAAACAAAATTTTCCTCTTGGGTCAATCCTATAATTTTCAATTAACTAAAACTAATCGTCAAGCAGGCACCAAACCTGCATTTTGTTTAAAGGGCTGGGAGGCATTTCCAAGGGTCAGAATGCATTAATTGTTTTTATAATTTTGAGGGGGTTGGGGAAAGAAAGAGAGAGACAGACACTAAGAAGCATGGTTGATTTTGTTCCTGGTATTTAAATACAAAAGGTAAGATGCTTTGAGGTAAAATGCCACAGCAAAATAAAATGTGTCTATTGAATTGTATGGTTATAATTAGGATGTGTTAACAGACTGCACTGGTCCTTTATTGAATGAAGATGGAAACATGGGACCACTTCCTGGAGACAGCTATGCAGGGATGACTACTACGAATCAGGGGGTACATGAGTCCCACTGTGGTCCTCGGACCAGCAGCAGTAGCCACCACCCAGGAGCTTGTCAGAAATGCAGACTCTCAGGTCCCCCACCCAGAGCTACTGAATCAAAATCTGAGTTGCAAACAGATCCCTGGGTATCCAGTTTGCACAGCACAATCCAAAGGTCTCTGAAAGTGCACAGTGGGCACTCAGAGCATGCACTCAGTATATTTCCATAGAGAACCTGCCTGCTTCTCTCCACTGATGGGAGGGAACTCACCTCCCACCTGTAGCCCTAACTTTTTACCACGAGGCAGATCCGCATGCCAACTGCAGCTTACAGGGAAACAAAGCACCAACCCAATAGTCAACGTGCAAACTACCAACTGTCTATAGTACAAAAGCTGTGCCCAGATTGGAAGAAAGTTGCACTGTTCTTTAAAGCACATCCGTACTCCATAAAGCAAGCCAACCCCAGCACAGATGGTGTATCATCCAGAGAGACTCAGGATTGTCTAGGGCCTTTCCCCTTTCCTTTATTTCTCATTCTGCTTCTTGAGGAAGCCAACCCATTATTATGATGGATCCTGTCATTCAACATGGCCATCCAGGTGAATTCATAATAATTAATAATAATAATAATAATAATAATAGCAGCAACTCATTTGGTCATGCATATGGTGAAATAGAGAAAGAAAACAGTTCTTAACAGAAACTAGAGTTCAAAAAAAATACACACTATACATACAAGATCAAGTGAAAGACCCACGAGGCCAAGGCAGCCCTGTGCTCACCCCTGCAGTGGTTCTTACCTGTGTAAATGAACCTTCCCGGAGTCCCTTTGCAGAATTGTTTGGATTTGTAGGACAGTGTGACTTCTACAACGCCGGGGATGTGCCGAGGAGGGGTCTGCACGCGGATGGCATGGGGAGTGATCAACTAGAGGAGACATTTGGGAGAAAAAAAATGTCATTGCAATATGGAAAGGACTCATATTTGCAACTCTGCTATCAGCTCTCAATAAACAAAGCTTTAAAACACATAATGAACCTGTCAGTGTTTAAATACAATCTCGAAGGAGCCTATATAAAAGACACGGACAACAATATTTACAAGTGCTCAGAGGACAGCCATAACAAGTTTATCGGAGTTTTCCTACACGGCAGGCACTGTGCTTCCTGGTTTGCAGAGTGAACCTGGCCTAATGAAATGATTTATCTACACCAGGATATCCTTTGGAAAATCTCTGTTTAAAGCAGACACCCCACTCAGAGCTGGGCTCTGTCGTGTCTCTCCAGAAGTCGGTGGGCCTGGTATTTGAACTGAGCCCTTAAACATGTGGAAAGCACAGAGGTAGGAAATCACTGGGCCAAGGCACTCTGATTAGCTGCAGAGCACACTATGAAATGCCCCTAAAGACCATTTGGTGCATTAACTACCAGAGGCACAATCAAAGGGCTTTAACCTGCCTCCCTGGAATAGTTTATGGATCTGGCAGAACTAAGGACTGTCCATAAAAGGGAAATGGAAGGTTGGGGAGGGGCCTGCAGAATGATCACTGGTCCATTATACAATGCCACGTGTACAACGAGAAAGCTCGTTTCTGAACCCTGTTGGCAATCAGATTACACCACAAAGCAGAATTTATTTTTTATTACTCTTTATCTTTGTTTATATAACTGAAATGTTATTAGTGGCCATAAAACTGGCATTATCTGGTTCTTTGAAAAATCCAGCCCTGGTATTTGACGGGTTGACGTCTGATGGTGCTGGATTCTATATATTCTCTCTCTGTGGTATCTGCCACTGCCCACTTCTCCACTTCTCTCACATTCATTTAGCTCAAATATTTGTGGAACTGAGTCAGTCTACCATGGGTTAGCACTTCAGTTTGTACCAACGTATGTGTGTGCTGTCCTTAAGAGGATAACTTAGAAAGGGCTTTTGTTTTAATGTGTAAGCCAGGCCCAATCCAAACATTTGCCCCGAGAACCACAGGTGACACCATGAGAATCAAGGTGACACCCATGAATACCAGCCAGTGGGTCCTGCATGAGTCCACTGTCCTAACACAGAGTCCTGGGGGAACATATGGGGGAAGTGGATATTGCTGACGTCCACAGTAACTTCTGTCAAATGCTCTTTCTTGAAAAATAAAGAAAAGGCTATTGGCACAAAATCATAAAATGATTAGAAAGGCCTATCTTCTTCCATAGACGGTGTGGAGCTTTAGTTTAGTTGCTGGAGTCACACAAGATACTTCAGTAAACCCCCTGGATGCTGAGTCCATTGCCATGGCCCCGTGTTTGGATGGCTAAGGGTTTAGCCAGAACAGGCACAAAACACTATTGACTTCAAGTTTCATTCTTTTCATAATGAAATTCTTCCCAAGTGCACATTATGTTTTATAAAATAAGTAGCAACTAGAGTTGCTATCATATGAAAAGTATGTATCGTTGAACTCAGCCCTGAGAAATCAAGGTCTTCATTCGAATGCCCCTTTTTACTAGTATATCTTGCTCTGATATAGAAAATCCTTCAGTGACTTCTGAGGTTATAAGAGGCTGTTTCCCCCAGACCAAATGGTACCAGGTGGCTTTGGTTTTAAACTTAGTTCTATTTTATTCAGTCTCTTCGTCTGTTTCCTCCTGGTGTCCTTGTACCTTCTAATCTGCTGTTCTTATTTATAAGCATTGAAATAAGGAAATCAAGTTTATTATTATACAGAGAATATGAGAAAGAAAGAGGCTCTACAGGGCGGTAAAAGATGCACTTCCAAAATCAAGTGCACGTTTAATCTGTTGTTCAGACAGCGTCTTTGCAGTGTTAGGAATTAATACTCATTGAGGGTCCTAGGAGGTATCTATTACACTCCTGAGGATTTTACATCTAAACATTAATTTGGCCAGAGCAATGGCTTTTATTATTATCCTTTTTTTTTCAGATGTGAAAACAGAATCTTAAAATGGTTAAGTTGCTTGCATAAGATCATCCTCATTAGGGCAAAAAGTGACAATGATATAGTTCAAAAACCACAGTGGGAAATACTATCTACCCATACAGAAGAAATTGTCCATATGGAAACTTTTAAAAAGCAGTAACAAACTCAAATTTTTCAGATCCAAAGACTGTGTGTGTGTGTGTATTTCTATCCTTATACTATATCTATTTTTCAATTACTCCCTGATCCTCGACTGTGCTTTTGATGGTTAAAGTCGCCATATTGTTATATTCCAAATAGGTGGTATGCTTCTATTTTTAAGAATTACTTAGAATGTCGAGTAATGTTAAATCACAATAATACTTAGGAGGACTTCCAGCCAGTTAGAAAATCCTTCGCCTCTCCTCTCTTTATTCCAGGAAAAGTATTTTTAAATATGGAAAGACATTAGTAAATAGATGAGTGAAGATGTCTTTTTTTAAGTATAGGGACTTATATTACCTACTAGAGGCCCAATGCATGAAATTCGTGCAAGGGGCTCGGCCCCCGCTGCAGCAGAGGCTGGCTCTGCCTCAGCCCCACCAGCTGCCTCTGAGCCTCTGCCTTAGCCCCCACCCACCGCCTGTCTGCCTCTGCTTCGGCCCCTGCCTACCGCAGCTTTGTCCTGAAGGTCGTCCAGAAGGTCATCCAGAAGGATGTCCAGAAGGATATCTGGTCTAATTAGCATATCATGCTTTTATTATTATAGATGTGCTGCTACACTGAGGAATAAAATTTATGGGAATTTTTAATTGATTAGATATGACAGTGATGACTCTACTGATTTGAGAGTAGGGTGTTAGCATAAAACATTAGGCTCAGAGAACTGAACCACATTTCCACATGTAATTTCATTTTCAGTTCTAGTCAATTGCCCCAACTAAAGCAGAGATTTCTTCTAGAAATCACTAAGCTTCACAAATGAGGCAAAATATGAATCATCATTAGAAAATGAATTCACTGGTGTTTTTCTTTCTGTGGATGTTAGTCTGGGAACAGTCTCTGGCATTGACACATGATATTGATGGCTTACAGAGGGAAAATATTTTATCTGACTTCTATCCATTTGAAAACATAGGCTTATTTACTAATAACTCCAAAAATCATAGAATTTATTTCTCAAAGGAATGCTAGTAATCATTTAAAACTAACACTCTTATTGCAACACCTAAGGACACAAACATTCAAAAAAGTCCAGTGGCTTCAAAAAATTGACCCAACAACATCTCAGGGGAAGGACGGGGTCTGGATCTGGAAGTCTAGACCCAAAGATCACACACACACACACACACACACACACACACACACACACACACTCTGGAATAAATTTCCTACATCGTTCCAACCTGGTTGAACTAAGGTAGTCACTCTCAGCAACAGAAGGAGGACGGGCTCGAGTAAATCTAAATTTTCCAAACTTCCATCATTAAAATACCACTTTCTCAGTTTTGCCATATCTGTATGTCACCTATACAATTATGTACTTAAAAAATTGATTACCTTTTTGTTTATAAATTTTTTTTTAAAAAAAAGGAAACTTTCTATCACTACTGTAACTAAAAAACTGGTATCCTCTGCCAAAATAAGGAGGTATACTAGACGGTAATCTTAAAGTTAATTTGATGTTGTTAAATTCTAGCTGAATCATGTTGACAACCTGAAGGAGTTTACTGAAAATAGAAAGTAGTTAGTGTGAGGTGTGACAGACTTATATGCCCCAACTGAGACTTTCTCTATTAACATAAACCCAACGGATTCAATGAGTAACAAACGGAGAATGGCTTTCTCACCATGTGATTCAGTTCTACTTTATGTCTGTGTCAAATCCAAAACTGTCTCCTCTACTGCCTGGGACACATGATCCATACTTTGGGAAATACTGTTCTAAGTGATTAGAGAACAGAGTCACTCCTTTAACTCAACTTCCTTAAATTACAAATCAAATGAGTTGTGCTAAAAATAAGCATTCTCTTGAAACTCTGTTGCATCTGACACTACTTTCTCCCATCTTGGAAGTCTCCACTGTGACACTAATTATAAGATATACGACTTGCAGTGTGTCTAATGGTTACCAAAGCACTTGCACAGCCACTATCTCTCAAACCCGTCCTTGTGGGATATGTATTCCAGATGAGAAATTTGATGGCTGGGCAAGTTAACCAAAATTATTTAAAACACCAGGAAGGAAACCAATCTCTTATGCCTGCAAATAAGTGTTTTCCAGACCGCATCTCTTATTCATAGGCTCCTGTGTTCCTCATTTTCAAACTTTTCCTTTCTGCTAACTTCTTAATTGGAGAACTGTCGCAATTTTTGTTCTATATTTTCCTCTGTTTTTAGTTGCCTAACATTTCTTGAGTTCACACACTGACTCAACCACCTCAGCTAAACTCACTTCTAAATCTCCACCTGTAGCTTTGACCTCTTTGGCTAAGCACCAAATCTTGATTAGCAACAGTAACAGAATCTCCCCAAACATGTCTAATTGCCACCTCAATTTCAAGGTGACCCAAGCTAAATTTATCATCTTACTACCTGTCAATGTATTTCTTGCCTCTGTGTTCACTTTCACATGTAAGGGAATGCTATCCTTCAAAACGCCCAAAATAGAAAACTTGAGATCATATTTATTTCTCCTTCCTTCAATTTTCCTTTTAGTCATGTTGATTCCCTCCTCTCCCCTCCCCTGCCCCTCCCCCGTCCCTGACACACACACATCTGAACACCACTGGCTCTACTTCTTCACTTTCTCCTATTCAGTTTATTACCATTTCTCACTCAGACTATTTTCTAAATATTCTCCCTCTATTTCTATTTTCTCCTCCAGAATTATCTTCAAAGGCAACCTCATCATGCCATTCCCTGACTCAAACTCTCAGCTGCCTCAACTGCCCCATTTACAAATTCCAAACTCCTTGGAATAATATTCAGAGTGCTCCTAGACCTGACGTCCATCTCC